TCTCATTTAAAGATTTGAATTGAAGAAACTATGGGAGAGAAGAAAAAAAGAGTATGAATATTCTAATCTCATAAAAATACATAATTTTATAAAATTGTAGGTACATATTTCTTGTACTCAGAATTTCCACTTACTCTTATTTTACAAGAAAACTCAGCTAAGTGCTGGAGCTATGGATTCCAATTGTTATGTGTCACTATATGACATATGATCTCTTGTGATTTCAATATCAAGGGTTTCACCTTCTCCATCTATACAGAGTAAAAGACCAGACATTGCTTACAGGCCTATACCTATTTATACATATCACCATAGTGCACATATTTGCTATATTAAATGGTAATAGTGTTCTAAAGGGCTAATAATTAGAGTGATGTAGAGCCACTGGGAGAAAAACAAATAGAGAATGAAGAATACATTTACATGCACGTGCAAATGAATTGACAAAAAAGAAAGAAACATACCAGTCTTAAAGGTTTAAAGTCTAAATAAAAGCTTAGTAAGAAAGACTAGTACTTAAATTTTCAGGAAACATAACCTCAGGATTAGAATGTATCAGAAACCTGTCTTAAGAAATGTTGAAAGGAAGGGCTGGGGCAGAGCTCAGTGGTGAAATGCTTACCTAGCATGTACAAGAACAGAACTGAACAGAAAGAGGTGATGGAGTAGAAGTGAATAGCTTATAAAATGTTATGATACATAATAGTTAATATAGTAGGTGTTACATTTAGTTGCTCTCTTAATTGCTCTCTACTTAACACACTTGCCAGATTAACAAACTCCATCCCCTCTATATGTTGCTGATGACCTTGGCATAAGATCTTTTGTAATTAAGTTTGCTTTCTAGTACATATAACACTTGATTTAGTTTGTGGGCTTAATAAGACTCACTTGTTTGCTCCCTAAATGTTTATCCCAGTTATGTAGTTATAACCCTTATTACATAATCAAATATTATGTAACTGACAAAATGAGTGCTGATGTCATTTCTTTATGAACTACCTTGAATGGATGGGAAGACTTGGTAATAACACTGTTGTTTCAGTGAGCATGCGTAGTGCCAGATCTTGGTTTCTRAGTAACTACTTATTTAAAGCATCTTATTAAAACATTTCTCCAGAAATGTTTCCCTCCATATTGGGAGCACCGAAAGTGTGGGGTGAACTTGCARTATCTTGTGTCAGAAGGCAGCTAAGTGCACAAAGAGTAGACAGGGAATGTCAAAAGGAAATAAAAACTACTTGGGAATTCCAACTAGCCAAATTTGGGACAGTTTAAACATCAGAAACAATGACTATAATTGACTAACACAAAGTGTCATTTGCCATTTTGCCATAACTGCAGAATAGGACACCAAATGCCTTACTGGTAATTAAACCCATTATATATATATATATACACCCTTGCCTAGTACATGTGAGGCACTGGGTTCGATCCTCAGCACCACATAAAAATAAATAAAAGTATTGTGTTCATCCATCTATCTATCYATGTTGTAGTTGAACACAATACTTTATTTTTATGTAAAATATGTTGTAGATGAACACAATACTTTTATTTATTTTTATGTGGTGTTGAGGATCGAACCCAGTGCCTCACATCCACTGAGCCACAACTCGAGCCCATAAATTTGTAAGCTAGTAATTAAAGGAAAAGAATTATGATCCCACCTCTAGTGCATTCCTAGTTGATAAGGGAAAGTTCTCTTTTATAGAAGTGTACCATTTTTCACAAATATAGAAATAATAATAACAACCATTTTGAAAACCTTGTGAAAAAATGGACTCGGGCAAGGATTATTGTTGGGTGCTAATATGACTAGGTGAAAAGTTGTTAGCAAACAGGATATCCATAGTGTCGGTCCACAGATTGTTAATTGCTACAGGAAAAACTGCCTTTACACTGAAGATCTGGTGTTTATCACCTCAATAGAATAATTAAATGTCACATTGACAGTTAATCTGATAATTGAGACTTTTGATTTTACAAAATGAAATACATCTGTGAAGTGTGTGAAGCATTAGTTAAAAGTGTTTTAACTTGAATCCAATCCAGCCTTTGGCTTTAACTTCTAATTTACAGAAAACAACATACCACATGCAACAAGCAGTTAAATCCTGAATACATGTTTTGTATTAACTTGTATTAACTGACAATTAAGTTGCCCTTTTTCTTTTTTGGTGCTGAAGATTGAACTCAGGGGCACTCAACCTCTGAGCTACATCCCCAGCCCTATTTTGTATTTTATTTAGAGACAGGGTTTCCCTGAGTTGCTGAGGCTGGCTTTGAACTCATGATCCTCCTGCCTCAGTCTCCTGAGCTGCTGGGATTACAAGTGTGTGCCACCATGTAGAACTTGACTTGCTCTCTTATAAGAGGAAAAACTAAAGGACTGTTCTAGATAAATGAAACAGACAAAAAAATAAAATATAATGTGTGAGAAATATGTGTGAAAATTGAGTAGTTCAATGGGAGATATTTGACATGGACTAGGTATTTAGGATTATGGAAGTTCATCTTTTTTGAGCTATTGTGATTATGTAAATGACCTTTTTAATGAGATGCATTTAGAGACAAAATGTAATTTATAATTGTTTAGTTAAAAAAAACATGGCAAGATGTAAATTTTAAGATCTAGATGGGTATAGTTCATTTTGTTATTTTAAAAATTTCTGTGTATTTGACTGTTTTCCTAATAAAAAGTCATGGAAAATAAGATTATTTGCTAAAGTCTGTTGAATTACTCATAAGTCAGACAATTCTAAAAGTGGGAAAAAACACACAAAGATCTAGGATTCTGCACTATTATTCTATTATTTTATAAGGGCATCAATTGCCTCATAAAATTTTATAAGGGCATCAGTTGCCTCTGTGTATCAGTGGAAGACTATAAATGCATTATTTACATAAACCACACAAAGGCAGGAAATACAAAGTAATGCAGAGAAAGGCGCTGTGGGTTGTTAATACTCCACACATTCATTCCAATGGAAAGAAGCGTTGTGTAAGGGATGAAGTAACATCAAAAACTATCTTAAATACAACTTATTTTTTCATGATAACTATGGAATAAGCATAATTTGAGCATTTTGCAACCTGCACTTTGTGAAGGATGATACCATGAAATCAAGGATAATTAATGTCAGGAAAAAGGAAAGCAACAATTTTTTTTTTCAAGAAAACATTCAACAACATAGCCTTGAAGATGCTAGCACCCCAGTCTCTCCTTCAGTACCTGTTTGCAGGACAAATAGCAATATTTAAGTGAAGCTGTATGGTCAATATATGCTTAAATTGATATTTATGGTACCAGAATTTATATCAGTTTCCCCTTATTTAGCTCATAAAAATCTTCTGCAAAGATGTCCTAGATTTCTGATTTTCCATTTTTATGCAATCCCTATTACCCAGTAAATAATATTTGTTAAACATTTGTTTGATGCATGCACAAAAGTTATTTCCAGTTCTACCAATTTCATTCCATGTCAGTTGATTCTACCTTGTTACTCAACTCTAATTTATATGTTACTCATTAATTCAACCAACTTATATTGATCATGTGCTATATGCAAGGCACTAGAGGAACAAATAGAGCAAGATGAAATCTCAGCTACGGATATTAAGTATATAGTATTTTTACCTATATCTGCCAGTTTTCCTTTTGTTAGGACCCATAAACTTGGTTATCATTGTTTAATGATTACTGTGTTAGTTTCTGCATCAGTGCTTTTTCCGATGAATTTTGTCCTGATGTTAAGAATAACCTCTACTTCCACAAACGAAGGATTCCAGTTATTCCTTTAAAATCAGACATTTCTTATAAATGGGCTAAGTGGGCTGGAGATGTGGCTCAGCGGTAGCGCGCTCGCCTGGCATGCGTGCGGCCCGGGTTCGATCCTCAGCACCACATACCAACAAAGATGTTGTGTCTGCCGAGAACTAAAAAAAAAATAAATATTAAAAATTCTCTCTATCTCTCTCTCTCTCTCCTCTCTCACTCTCTAAAAAAAAAAAAAAATAAATAAATAAATGGGCTAAGTTTTGCTTTTTTATTTCACTCTACTTCCTTAAATAAAGGAAGTCCAATTATATTATCATGTTATATGATACCTATGTATTCTCTTTCCTCACTGTTTTTACATTTCCCCAACTTACTAAACTCAAGTCTGTTTTCTGCTTATTTTCCTCTCAATTTATTTACAAAATTTCTTTAATTACTTCCTTAACTTGGGCTAAGGTGTAGCATTTGACAACCCATTTTAGCAGATCTCTTGTGCTCATTCCATGGCAAATTAGTTAAGATTATGTCCTTTCTCATTATTCTAATAAGCTTTGTTGTTTAAATCAGCTGTGATTTTCAGCACTGTACAAGCCTTGAAAGGATCCAATCAGGAAGTCTGGGGCCAGGGCACAGTTGGTACTCAAATGTGTTTCAAAGGAATAAATGGATTTCTCACAGCAGAAGAGCCACAGGGGAAAACTGAATTAGGAGTCAGATGAAAAAAATGTGAACTGTATGCCTAATTTTTCCTTCAGGATAACCCTGGATGTTAAAATCTGGTGAAACTAAGGCTAACCTGTTTTAAAGATTAATCTTGGGGGTCTTTAATATTTGCCTATTTAAATCTGTACACATCTAAGGGTTATATACACTAGTTTCTCTGTCCTAACAGATCATCTTTCCTTAAGCTTCACTTCCTTTAATATTTCAGATTTGAGGGAAAGTGCAGTTAAATGTTGGTTGCACAGAAATCTTTGAGATACTTTCAACAATTTTTTTTCTCCAAATCTATTGGATCCATATTACAATTATGGCATAACTGGAAAAGGGAAAGTAACCTTTAATTATTTTAAGGCTTCCAAGCTGGGAAGAAATGAAGGCCCCAAAGATTTTTTTTTCTTTTCTATAATTCCAAGATTACTCTCTAGTKTGAAATCTACTTGATGGATACTTTACCAAGCAACATTCATAAGGCCTCAAAAAGTCTATGAAATACATTGAGTTGATGAGTTACAAGTTTTTGAATACAATTTCATATTTTTCTCTGAAATGAATTAAGTTGATATCAAGTAAAGGCTAACTCAGTGAAGTTTCCTTTTAAAACTTCATATCAAATTTAAATGAGTTATATCCATATTACTAATATGGATACTTCTGCTGAGTATCTAACATATTGCACTTCTTCAGATTTATTTTTAATGTTTTAACACACAGAGCACACAAAGTAAAACTTAAGGATCAAGTTGAAAAACCTAAATGAAGTCTCCCATATCCATTAATTACGATGTTTGACACCCGTATGAACACGTTGATGCTGAATAAGGTTTGTACTCTGAGTGAAAGATTTACCACATATACGACATGCATAGGGCTTCTCTCCTGTGTGAATTCTCTGGTGTTGAATAAGGCATGTTCTCTGGCTAAAATCTTTGTCACATTCATTACATTTATAGGGTCTCTCCCCAGTATGAGTTCTCTGATGTTGATTAAGTGATGAAGAATAAATAAAAGCTTTCCCACATTCATTACATTTATAGGGTTTCTCTCCAGTATGAATTCTTTGATGTTGGGTAAGATTTGCACCCTGTCTATAAGCTTTCCCACATATATTGCATTTAAAGGGTTTTTCTCCATTATGAATCCTTTGATGTTGAGTAAGATGCACACTCTGGCTGAATGCCTTCCCACACACACTACATTTATATGGTTTCTCTCCAGTATGTGTTCTATGATGCTGAGTGAGGTTTGCACTCTGGCTGAAGGCTTTCCCACATATATTACATATATAGGACTTTTCTCCAGTGTGAGTAGTTTGATGTTGAATAAGAGTTGAGGAATGAGCAAAGGCCTTTCCACATTCATTACATTTATAACACTTCTCTCCAGAATGAATTCTCTGATGTCGAATAAGGTAAGTGCTCTGACTAAAAACTTTCCAACACTCATTGCATTTATATGGTTTTTTCCCAGTATGTATTTTTTGATGCTGCAGAAGGTGTGTACTCTGACTGAAAGTTTTCCCACATTCGTTGCATATGTAAGGTTTTTCTCCAGTATGAACTCTTTGATGATTAATCAGTGATGAACTATGACTGAAGGTTTTACCACATTCCAAACATTTATATGGTTTCTCTCCAGTATGTGTCCTTTGATGTATAGTAAGGTGTGCACGCTGGCTAAAGTCTTTTCCACAATCATCACACTTATAGGGTTTCTCTCCAGTGTGAATTCTCTGATGTATSGTGAGGTGTGCACGCTGGCTGAAGGCTTTACCACACTGGTGACATTCATATGGTTTTTCTCCAGTATGCATTCTCTGATGTGCAATTAGGGATGAGATATGCCTAAACTCTTTCCCACATTCTTCACATTCATAAGATTTCTCTTTGGCATGGGTACTTTGGTGTTTCAGGAGGGATGGGTATTTCCTAAATTTTTTCCCACACACATTACATTTATAAGGCTTCTCTCCAGGAAGTATTTTCCCATGTACAATACCATATGAGACATTACTGAAGTTTGCCTTGCTTTCATTATAGATAGAAGTTTTATTATCTGATTGTGTATCAAACTGTACAATTAGGTTTGAATGCTTTTCAAAATCATTTCTATATATATCATATTTACTAAGATATTCTTCTGTAGGATCATCTTCTTGTGAAAAATCAGACTTCAAACTGAAATCATACTCATTAGTGGGAAATTTCTTGAAGGCGTTTGTAGTTTTTCTCTCTAATCTGTCATCATAGTCATATGGTTCTTCCAATTTGATGGTCTGGGTTCCATCCTGTTTGAGTTTAGGAATATCTTTTACTGGAGTACATGTTTGGGCTTCAGTTCCCCATTCTGAAAATGAAAAAACAATATAAAAAATCTTCCTCTATTTGGCAAAAAAACATAATAACAACATGAATAAAGTGCCTAAAGACTATAGCTCTGACAATCTCAGTAATATGATCCTTAAAGTTTAGGAAAGGAGAATAAAAGGGCAGCAAAACAAGAGTCTAAATTATTCAAAAACAGAGAGGTTCCTCACTCTTCAGCCTGGGTACCGAGTAAATAAAATAGACAAAGCTAAGACAGTGAAAACAGAAGAAAGGGCTATTTGGGATAAATTACTTCATGGAGTAATTTGCATATTTAAGGTTTTTCTCCAGTATGAACTCTTTGAGGAATGTAGCTCTGCAGTAGAGCACTTGCCTGACTCTTTATATGATGTTTTCATAAAGTAAGCATGCTGACTCTTGTCACTCCCTCTTTCAATCTACCCTGCATAAACCCATATAACATTCCTAAAGCAATCTCATGGAATTCATTCTCTCTCTCTCTCTCTCTCTCTCTCTCTCTCTCTCTCTCTCTCTTTTTCTCTCTCTCGCTCTTTTTTCTCTCTCTGTTTCTGTTTAGGGGGTACTGGGGAATGAACCCAGGGATGCTTTACCACTGAGCTACATCCCCAGTCTATATATTATTTTTTATTTTGAGACAGGGTCTTGCTAAGTTGCTTAGGACCTTACTAAATTGCTGAGGCTGTATTTGAACATGGATCCTCCTCCCTCAGCCTCCTGAACCACTGAGCAGTATCATAGCTAGTATACAGACATATTAAATGAAGTTGAAAAATATCTCTAGATCTCTAGTGTGTCTTCAGTAGCCTGAAGCAATTGTTCTCAAAGTACAATCTCAAGAGTAGCATAATAAGCATTACTATTTACTATTCCCTGGAAATGCATTAAAATTATTGGGTCCTATCCAGACATACTGAATTAGAAACTATGGTGGTGGGGCTGAACAATTTGTTTTAGCAAGTACCAAAAGTAGTTTTGCTGCATGCAAAGTTTGAGGGCCACTGGCTTAAAAGTGTTAAAGGASGAAAAAAATGACTAGGAATGTAGCTCTGCAGTAGAGCACTTGCCTGGCTCTTGCTTCTATTCTCAGTACCAGGAAACAAAATAAAACATAACAGAGAAAGAAAAAGCTCAAAATACCTCCACTTGGCATTCAATCCCCTTATAGTAGAAAAATAGTCCTCTTCTACTATATCCCTTACACTTCATATTCTGCTTAACTTAGTTTAAAGTTATCCACTATTCCCACAGGGCCTATAGGTTCTGTGCTAATCCCAAACTCTAGGCCCCTTTTTATGATACCTTCTCTACCTATTACAAAAGACGGTTATAGTTCAGCTCCTTCTTAGAACCTAAAATATAGTGTAGTTTGATTCATATATGAAATTGTCTTTTTTATAGGTCAAAATGGCTGACTGTCATAATAATCTTGTCATGGTTCAACCTAATATAATGTTGAGCTAATGATGAAATTTGGCCTTATATGAATATCTCACAATTTTGTGTGCTTCTTATATTTTTAACTTATACATAAACTCTGGGAATAGCTTCTGTTTCTTTTATATTTCCTTCAGAAAATTGGCTAAAGACTTTGGATATGGTAGCTACTCAATTTTTTTATACCTTTATTTCATTTATTTATTTTTATGTGGTGCTGAAGATCGAACCCAGGGTCCTGGGCTTGCAAGGTGAGTGCTCTACTGCTGAGGCACAACCCCAGCCTTACCACTCAATTTTTAACTGATAAAATAAATAAGAATAATTTGTAAAAAGGTAAACTCAAATCAARGTGTGCACACACACACAAAACCAAATACACAAAAACTGGCTATGAGGCAGTCAAGTATGTATTTGTTGATGCCTATTATGTTTCCAGTATGATAATTTGAAACAAATTTCATGATATAATCTTTTGAAATGGTGGGAAGCATATAACTTGTAAGTATTAAGAATTATATACTGGGGATTGGGGATGTGGCTCAAGCGTTAGTGTACTCGCCTGGCATGCATGTGGCCCAGGTTTGATCCTCAGCACCACATACAAAAACAAAGATGTTGTGTCTGCCGAAAACTAAAAAATAAATATTAAAATTCTCTCTCTCTCTCTTAAAAAAGAATTATATACTGTAATATCAAATGTAGAATTTAAAATATAGGAAAAATAGTCCTAGATAGTTCATAAACTTTTTAAGATGCAGTTCAAAGTACAATAACTTTATCAACATATTCCTTCAGTAGGAGAGTATGTAGATATTGAAAATATTAGCTACATAAATCAGTAAGAGACTTGTTAGAGGGTAGTAGAATATTGATAACCGATAAAATAGATCTAGTTACATTTATATGAAAAGGTGTTCAGGACACATGGTTAAGTGAAGAATGGCAGGTATGTAGCAGCAGGTAGAGCAAGATCCCACCTATGTAAAGATACGCTCTATGTATTATAGACAGGCACAGAAAGACACTGATAATAAGGAGAGAAGGTACTGGTAATGACCCAGGGGAGGGAGACATATGAAATTTGCTTCCTTGTAGTGCTTGAATTTACAAACTACTTTTACTCAAATACATAAATCATAATTGACACTAGAAAATGTTTAGGAGTAATGTTAAATGAAARAAGCAGAATCATAGCTAGTATACAGATATAATAGATGAAGTTGAAAAATAATAAATTATAGGTTTTATTTTCTAATTTTCAATTAATTTGCTATATTATTTTTTTCTGCTATGAAGTACTAGAAATGTTGTTATACTGTTATAGAAGGAAAAAAAATTAAAATCAACTTTCTCAAACCAGGATTCGTTACCCTGCCCAAAATAACAAAATGAGAATGTAAGTAAACACATACAAAAAAAGGATGGGCTAGTACCATAAGCTCAGTTTAAATTCTATCTAATCAGAATCAGTCTATGGCAATCTGCATATACCTGAAAAGGAAGTATTACAGTTATGTTTTTTTTTAATAGTGCTGGGGATAAACCCAGGAGCTCATACATGCTAGGCAATTAACACTATCTACCATTGAGCCACATCCCAACCCTATAGTATAATTAATAAGCTTAAGCAACAAGTTTGAATGATGACCATGAACACAATGCTACTATAATAATACATTTTTTAAAAAATCAGGTTATTAGAAATTAAACAAACTGAGATCAGTAAGCAGGGCTTAAAAATGTGTATGTACTTAATCAAAATGGTTAGTAAAAAGTGGTATCTGTTGGCTAATATTAGACCAAACAGTGGTGTAATATTTCTAATATAGAAGATCAACCCTGACTTAGGTAATCAAGAAAAGCCTCAGGGAGAAGTATGATTTGAGCTCAGCCTGAAAGAATGGCTAGGTCCTGTATAACATAAAGAACTATGAAAGTTCTAAGACTTAATGGCTACTAAAGACCAAAAGTAGTATTCTATTTATGAATTACCAAAGTTTTCATTTCCTGAAGCAAAACTGGTTAGGTATTGTAACTAAATGTTCTATTTATTATATATCTTTGATCTGGAAAGACAGTAAAATCCTCAGAGGCCAAAATCAAATAAAAACAGGAAGGCAGCTGGGTACTGGTGGCTCATGCCTGTAAACTCAGCAGCTAGGGAGGTTGAGGCAGGAGGATCAAAAGTTCAGAGATAGCTTCAGCAACTTAGCAAGACCCTTCTCAAAATAAAAAAGARGGCTAAGGGTGTGGCTCATTGATTAAGTGCCCCTGAGTTCAATCCCCAGTACAAACAAACAAACAAACAAAAAACTCCAAACAAAAACAATAAAACAAAAACAAAAAGCAGGAAGGAAGGCAGTTACAGCTGAAGTTAGTTGCTTGAAATGGCTCCTTCATCCCATTGATAACCTTGAGCTTCCATTTTGAGGGTGCCAAGGGCTAATGTGACAGAAGCCCAATCAGAAGTGAAGCTGGGAGGAGTCCCTTGCAAAGAGGATTAAATATGATGCAAGAATAACAAAAGCCCAAAAAACTAACCTCCATAGGGGGAAAGAAATAACTTGCCTTTCTTAGTCTTGGTGTTTGTTCACTTCGAGGAGCAAAATCTCTTCTTAAAATGCATAACTAYAAACTGCCCCTTCTTGGGCATTGATAGCTCTAATTTGTGCTCTCTGAAAGGTCTAAAAAACTTCTCATGCTGTGAAGTTAGGTCTAAGTACTCCCAGATTGGCAGCATCTCCCCAGACACTATACTAATTCTAGTCCAGGGGAGGCTCATTTCCATTATAGTTCAAGTGTTTTCTCACTGTTTACAGTGTGCTGAACTGATTCTCCAATGAATTTAGTGTGCTACAGGCATATTTTGTACCATTCTGCCAATTAAAGGCCATAAATTATGAAAAAGAATTAGTTTTTCAAATAGAATGAACCTTGAAATACCTAATTACCATAAGTTATTATTTTTTTTAAACAGTGAAGCAATTTACTCTAAGGCAGTATGGACTATTCTGTTATTATTGTTTAACTATTACAATTAATGTTGTATTCTAGCATCAATATTGGTAGACATATAAGTCTAAATAAGAAAAAAAAAAGAATAGGAAAGTAAGATGTGAAAGAATGTATCAATGATTTATTTTTTTTGCAAAGAGAAAATAGGACAGATAAACCAGAAACAAATGAATATGGTTATCTATAGGTAGTAGATGGGAAAAGTGTAGAAGGTATAGGAGTGCATATCTTTTATATAGTTTTGGCTTCTGAACAATGTTAATGTTTTTACATACTCAAAAATGTAAAATAAAATAATTTAAAAAGAAAACACTCCCCTTAATGGGATATATTCCAACGACTAAAAGGACTGCAAAGAAGTCTTGAATATTCTAAACAGTTTGGTAGTAACCTTGGTATAACTCTGAAACTATTTCTGTGTGTAACATATGATAGAACAAATAAGTAAATATACCGATTATGGTGAAAAACAGCTTATTCAGTGTATGGGAAAGAAGGCACAAAATACAAATACAATATTGAAATATACAAAATGAAAAAGTCTTCTGGTATTGGATTTGAATTAAGAGTTATGAGTAAGAACTCATGACTTTAAAAAACAAACAAACAAACAAACAAAAAAACCCCAAACTGCTGGACACAGTGGCACATGCCTGTAATCCCAATAGTTTGGGAGGCTGAGGCAGGAGGACTGCAAGTGAGGAAAYTTAGTGAGGACCTAAACAACATAGTGAGAACCTGTCTCCAAATAAAAAMTATAAAAAAGGGGGCTGGGGATATGGCTTACTGGTTAAGCAGCCCTGGGCTCAATCCCTGGTAACAAAAACAAACAAAAACTATAGGACTGTGGGTATAGCTCAGTTGGTAAGGCCCTGGGTTCAATCCCCAGCAACACATACACCCCCCCCCCACAGAAAACCAAAAACTATATATAAAGTGGATATAGGAATATGTAAAAATGAATCCCATTGTTATGCATAATTATAATGTACTAATAAAAAATAAGGAATAAAAGAGTCGAAAAAATGTGGAAAAAAAAACACCCCAAAACTTCTGACAACATGGATGACCCTTTGAAGACATTATGTTAAGTGAAATAAGACAGTAAAAAAAAAAATCAAATATTGTATGATTTCACTTATATTCTATATCTAGAATCATCAAATTTATAGAAACAAGGTAGAATGATGATTACCAGAGAGTGAAGGAAGGAGAAATGAGGAGTTGTTATTTAATAAGTACAGACTTTCAGTTTTATAAGATGAAAACGTTGTGGAGATTAGTTGTACAACAATGTAAATATATTAAACACTACTGAACTTGAAAAAGGTGAAGATGGGGACGCAGGCTGGGGCTGGGACTCAGGGGGTGAGCGCCTGCCTAGCACGTGTGAGGCCCTGGGTTCCACCCTCAGCACCACAGACAAATAAAAGTATTGTGTCCACCCCAAACTAATATATATATATATATATATATTTTTTCCCTCCCCTTGGAGAAATTCCAGGTCTAAGGTAAGTAAAAGGGGAGGAGTATCTAACAGAAAGCAAGGAAATGCTCTAAGACTAATAGTTGTGTCAGAGAGATGGTGGCCTTGGTTTGACCGACTCACGTTGCCTAAATGTGGGACAGCTGGGTATTAAAACCAAAACAACAAAATAACTGGAATGAGTAAACTAACAACACTTTGAATCTTTAAAAATTCCCTTAGTCCATGTGTGTGGCTCATACACATCAAAAAATGGGAAGGAGGAAGACCTATTTTTTTTTTTCTGCATTTCCTTCCTGCTCGAATAGAAACGTTATATTCCTAATCAGTTTTCCACCATAGATTCCTCCGCCGGAGACTCCTCGGCCAGAAGCCATAGTCCCTGCGTTTTGACTTCCACTACTTTGTTGCCTTAAGGGCCCTCGAATATGCATACGTGAAACGGCCAAAAAGTAGCTGGGGCTGRAGTTGTGGATCAGTGGCCAAGTACTTGCCTCATTGGGTTCGATCTTGAGCACCACATAAAAATAAATGAAATAAAGATATTGTGTCCATGTATAATTAAAAAAAAAAAGTAACTGTTGCTGTTAGGGATCTTAACTACATAAGGAAATGGGACCAAATTGGCGGGCTTGGTGAAAGTGGAGCCCACCAGGAGGTAGAAGGCAAAGAGACACGCAGAGARGGTCACAAAGCTGGAGAGGAAGGAGCCTTAAGAGGGCGCCCGCTTCACAACACGACCCCAGAGTGCTGGGTGTGCAAGGAGAGGCGCCCCCCAGCGAAGCGGGGCGGAAGACCTGTTCTTYTCTTTCTTTCTTTTTTTAAAATATCTTTTTATTTTTTATTTTTATGTGGGGTTGAGGATCGAACCCAGGGTCCCGCGCATGCCAGGCGAGTGCGCTACCGCCCCCGGAAGACCTGCTCTTTACTGGAGGATGCTATTAATCATTTAGAAGAGATTATGAATCAAGGAAAAAAAAATCACAGTTTTGCAACCAGCAGTGCAACCAGGCAAGGATCATCAATGGATATTAAAAACCTTAAGTGAAAGGTTGTCAAGGAATAGAACAGTTATTTGCCCTCAAAGTATCATTCCATAGACTACTTATTTATTAGAGGAAAAAAATATGCACCTTTAAAATGATGTGACCTGCAGACACTACCTTAAACAAACTGAGCATCATCAATGAGGAGACAAACTAGGAAATGAGCCTCTTGAGGAAGTGCATGGAAAGCAACATCACCTTTGAAATATTTTTGACAAAATGTTTAATCTGAATTTTATTAAGAGGAAAAAAATCAGGCAAATCTTAAAGAAAAAAAATTTTCAGCTATTTATTGTCCAGGATAAAATTCGATATGCTCTTCCTGAACAGGACTGACTGTGTACAGACCAAATGTAATTCCCATATTGGAAGAACCATGGATGGTGATAGAAATTTTAGAAGGCCTATCCTTCAGGGACAATGTGGGCATTCTAACAGTAAAAAAAAAAACAAACAAAAAACAAAACACACACACACACACACACACACACACAAACAACCACAAAAAAACTGGCTTGGATCCTTTAAAAAAGGTCAATAATCTTGAAAGATTAAGTGGTGCATGTTTGTAATCCCAGTGGCTTGGGAGGTTGAGGCAGGAGGATCACAAATTCAAAGGCAGCCTCAACAGCTGAGTGAGGACCTAAGCAACTTAGCAAGACCCTGTCTCAAAATAAAATATAAAAAAGGTCTGGGATGTGGCTCGGTGGTTAAGCACTTCTGGGTTCAATCTCTGGGACAGGGAAAAAAAAAAAAGAAAGGAAAAAAAGGTTGAAGAACACTTCTATGTTAAAAGGGACTTGGGGCTGGGGATAGGGTTCAAGTGGTAGCGTGCTTGCCTGGGATGCGTGGGGCACTGGGTTCGATCCTCAGCACCACATTTAAATAAATAAATAAAATAAAGATGTTGTGTTCACCGAAAACTAAAAAATAAATATTAAAAATTCTCTCTTTTTTTTTAAAAAAAAGGGACTAATGAGGGCTGGAGTGGTGGGTCAGTGGTAGAGCACTTGTCTGTCATGTGGGAGGCACAGGGTTCTATTCTCAGCACTGCATATGAATACAGATCCATTGACAACTAAAGAAAAAGGAGGAGGGGACTAATGATGTGAGATAAATAAATGGAACATGAGATTTCTTACTGGATCCTAGACTGGGGAGGAAAATATCTATAAAGGATATTTGAGGAAATCTGAATATTTGGCCATGTATATCAATAACTATTGTATAAATGTTAAATATCTAGAGAGAGAATGGTGGTGTGCTTATGTAGAAGAATGTTCATGCTTTTAGGAGATATTCAGGGGTAAGATGTTATGACTAAATTTCAAATGGTTCAGTGCAAAAACAAAGGTGTGTGTAAAATGTCTAAATGATAATTAGTGATTTCAGGTAAAAAGTATATAGTTGTAACTTTTCTTTAGGTTTGAAATCTTAAATAAAATTGTGGAGGAGAGAAGAATGAAYGGTAACAATCAAAAAGGCCATCAATGGGGACAAGTTCAATAAATTATAAGACAACCAATAAAATATGATGCAGATATTAAAAAAGAAATGGAAAAAGCTCTTCACATGCTCATTTGGAACATTTTTCAAGATATATTTTCAGGTAAAATATGCTAAGAACAAAACAATATGCATAGTATGCTACTGTTTATGTTGCAAAATGGAGGAAAAAATTTTCTATTAACTTTATGTGCAAAAAACCCAATCACCCATCCAACCCCAAATCGATATCTGAATCAACTGTTTACCTATAATACAGAGCCAGATTTTATTTAAAAATAAAAAATTACTAAAATTATGTTAAAATCCAGGTTTTATTGTGGAGATGAACAGTTGTTCAAGACTTACCTGGAAGGAAGCCTCTATAGGAAAACAGTGGTTAATAGTCAAGATCTAATAAGAGTGGTTGCTGCTGGACGATGTAGCAACTGGGTGAATATGGTATGTAGGTGGGAGACTTTTGTCTCTATATATGGCTTTATATATTTAAAACATTTTTAATTTTGTGAATATATAAGTTTTAAAGTAATTTGGAAATAAAAAAGAAGGAAATTAAGAGAGTGGAGACGGGAGATATAGGGGTTTGTTAGTTAACAGAAAAAAAGAAACTCAAATGTAAGTTTTGAAAATGGAGCAATGGGAAAGTCCCAGAGAAGCTCTAAAAGATGGTACTTGGGGTCACATAGGATAAAATGAGAAGGGACACAGGGGAAAGGTAGCAAAATAATATTTGAAAACTCTCTTCCTTTTTTACTTTCTTCTGTAAAAAGCAATACCAAAACAGCTCAGAATTCTTTATCAGCTGCTATGACTTTGCAAAGAATGATTTAGCCATATTTGATAAATAATTTCAAAACATTTTGGATATAGACTATTAAGTGCAAAGAAGCCCATGTGCTGGCTTTTCTCTTACCTGGACTAGGGCCTTCTAAAATTTCTTTTATCACCATCCATGGTTCTTCCAATATGGGAATCACAGTTGGTCTGTAGACGGTCAGTCCTGTTCAGGAGGAGCATAATGAATTTTATCCTGGACAATAAATAGCTGTAAAAAATGTATTACCTGACTTCTACTAAAACTTCTATAGGAAAATAACAGTTCAGGGACATGATTTAGTAAGATACTTAGGTCTCATCGTTTTCAGAGCAAGGATTAAAAATTTCCTGCTACCCAAGAGAATGTATGTCTGGAGATCCTACGGAAGAATTCTTTCCTTTGAGCAGTAGAGAATGGGCAAGACAGTGTTGAGTAGCCGTCAAGTGGCAGCACTATGAAATTGTGCATTAAAACTTTCATTAGTAGGGCTGGGGATGTGGCTCAAGCGGTAGCGCGCTCGCCTGGCATGCGTGCGGCCCGGGTTCGATCCTCAGCACCACATACCAACAAAGATGTTGTGTCCNGGTTCGATCCTCAGCACCACATACCAACAAAGATGTTGTGTCCGCCGAGAACTAAAAAATAAATATTAAAAATTCTCTCTCTCTCTCTCTCTCTTAAAAAAAAAAAAAAAAAACTTTCATTAGTTATCTTTTATTTGGGAAAAGGAACAACACAGTCATTTCTGTGCCTGAATGAGATGAAACACTCATCTCTAGACCTTATTTTTAGCCAAGTACTTCAGAGCCTTCTTAAYGACTAGGGGCAGAAACATAACTCGGGGGGAACACTGGGAGGAGAGGTGTGGACAATCCTTACCTAGWGAAACCATGTTCCAATAGTTTTGTAATGTCACCGTCTTGTACAATTCCTTCTGTACAGGACGCATTAGCTCCCAGTCCTCTTGGGTGATGTCTACAGCCACATCTTTGAATGTCATTGATTCCTAAAATATCAAATACAACTTGGTGGTGGGAATAGGGGATCAAGAATATTAAATTTTAGGACTCTAAAAGTTTGTCTAGTCAAAACCTTCACCTAATGTATAGTCCACAGCATCCTTCAAGGGCCCTAATGAGAAGTTTAAAAATAAAGGAAAATTTCTTGTTTTCAATTAGTACTAGAGTACACACTGATGGTTTTCGTTTTAAAGAAAAAGGGTAGGCCAAGGGATATAGTCGGTGGTGCAGACAGCACTTGCCTAGCATGCTCAAGTCCCTGGGGTTTGATCCCCAGCACCACTCACACTCACTGCCCCCCACCCCACCCCCMAAAAAAGAGGAAGAAAAATGAGGAGAAAGAGGTTTTGAATTTTAAATACATATGACACAGAGTTAAATGATTTTCAAGTTTTATCCTAAGAATAAATTCAACATGTTATAATAAACATGTTGGTTGTGGGTTGTGGGGTTGTGGCTCAGTGGTAGAGTGCTTGCCTAGCATGCATGAGGCACTGGGTTCGATCCTTGGTACCATATGAAAATAAAAAAAAAATAAAATAAAGGTCATCTACAACTAAAAAATAAAAACCACATTTATATGTTCTATAATATAAATGTAATGTTCTTTTAAAAAATAAAACTGAAACCAACAACCACACTGTTGAATCACTGCACTTTTAGATGCATCTCTCAGTTCGGGAAGGTTAGTATCCCTTTTTGCTCCCTTCTTAAAAAATTTTTGTTAAAAATATTTCTTGATTACTGTTACCTATTATTTTTTTCAAATAATTAACACACACTAAAAAATCACTTTGAGATATTAAAGTCACATTAAATTTATAATTGAGAAAGAAGTGATTATAGTTTCTTTTATGTCTTATAAGATGCATATAATATGAAAGATGCAAAATTTATACTATGCTTAGTTTTAGATTTTTTAAAATTTTGTCATCTGGTTTTTATGTGTATGTAAAAGAGGGATACATTTTTGCATGTTACTTTCTGTGGCAGTCATTTACTCAAATTTTCAACTACTGTTTCTAACAGTTTTTCCCTTGATTTTCTTAGTTCTCTAGGTAAATGTTCACATCATCTATAAATAATCATTTTAATTTGATTGTCCAAGGTTTTTTAATTATAGGCCATGTATATTTTCCCAATAAGTCTTTCTCTTAAGGTGGCCTAACTTGCTATTCCTTAGTGTAATACCTCTCATGATCAAGATCACAGAATGCACACAGCCTTTAATTACTTGTTAATGAGGAAAAATAATATTAGCAAATATTATTTATTAATCACTTAATAAATGGTAGTAAAGGGTAGCCAAAAGTCTCATAATGTTTTATTCTTACAATCTTAAGAGGTAAATTCTACATATTGAAAATGAGTAACTTAGACTAAGTGGGTAAATATCTTATTCCAAAATCATGAATTCAATGGCAGAGCCAGGAACCAAAACCTGGATTCCACCTGACCATGTAGGTTAATCTCTTAACCTCTATACAGTATTACTAACTTAAAAGTCAAGGAGTGAGGAAAGGCATATTAAGGGAAATCGAGCACATTTACTGAACAGTTCAAGGTAATGAAGGAGAGAAACTCAGGTTTAGGTCCTAGTAGTTAGGGCTTTTGAGGGTTCACCAGCTATCGAGTAGGATTCACAACAAAAAATGCTCTCTCATACTAAGAAGGCACTTTAAAATCACAAAAGAAACTTAAACTCACTTTGGTTACCAAGTCATTGAGCCACCCTGCCTCGAAAGCATGCCTTCCTCTGGGATCTTCCTCTTGAATCACCTGGGAAAGAGCAGCGTTCTGAGGAACTATGAAAGAGAAAGAAACCATTATGGATATTAGCCCTGTTCAAATAGCCTAGGAAATCCTTCACCAAATACATGCCTACACTATTCACTTTTAATGGGACTCTCTTTTAACCCAGGGACTCACACATGCTAGGTAAATACTCTGCCACTGAGCTCCATGCCAGCCTTTATAAAGTTTTATTTTGAGAATCTTGCTAAATTGCAGAGGCTGGCCTTAAACTTATGATCCTCTTGCTTCAAACTCTGGAGTAGCTGGGATCATAGGTATGGGTCAGTGTGCCTGGCTAGATGCTTAGACTTTTCTTTTTAAAAGAATTTTATTTATTTTTATGTGATGCTGAGGACTGAACCCAGTGCCTCACATGTGCAAGGCAAGTGCTCCACTACTGAGGTACAACCCCAGCCCTAGACTTTTCTTAAAATGAGAAGTGAACAGAAAGTTGAAAAAGCACTCATACTTCAAAGTCAGAGGGAAGGGCCAATCACTTGTCCTAAGACATCAATGCAGAGTTCAAAAACAAGTCTGCTCTGGGACTGTTAAGTGTATGTAGAAAATTCAGTATTTTCTACTAAATCCTTATTTGATCTAAAATGTGTGAACTGTCTCTTTCTTAAGATGAGAATATTCTTTGGAATTTCTATCTTTCTGGAAATCACAGTGCAAGTGATTTATTAGTAGAGTGGTATAAACCTCTTCGAGTTACCTTTCTGGAGATTCATACAGAGGTTAATTTGGTTGTGTCAAGTGAATCTCTCCCGAAACTTCTCCTCTGGCTTTAGATATTGTGTGTCTGGTTTAAGCAATCTTGAGGGGGAACACTATGTAGGATGGAGCTCATGTTAAAGCCTGTTCTCACTCCTTAACTCAATTATCTTTTTTCTCTCCAATTTCTTTAAAGGAGCTATTCTCAGAAGTACTAATTGTCTTCTCTAACCACCCAGGGATTCCTCCCCTCTCTGCTCTACAATTCTCACCTTCCTCTTCTAGAATCTGAGTCAAATCCTCTACCAGAGTCACCACTTCCTCGCTGCTCTCTGGATACTGGGACTTTACCCAAGTCCTAACCTCCCCAGGCAGGATGGTTAGGAACTGCTCCAGCACCAGTAGCTCCAAGATTTGTTCCTTTGAGTGAATCTCAGGCCTCAACCACTTAAGGCAGAGCTCTCGGAGTTGACTCAATGCCTTTCGAGGACCAGCCAGGTCTGGGTACAGAAAATTCCTAAAATTCTGCCGACAGGTCTCAGTGTCACGCAAGAGTCTTGAAGTAAGGGTTTGCTTCTCAACATTGTGGGTTCCACTTTGAACTTTGTCTGGCTTCCACATTAGAAGGATTTGTGAGCGTGAAGAACTGGTCATCCTCTTTCTTGAGGCTAACATATCTATAGACAGGACAGTCAATCTGGCAATATCCTTTATTTCTCCAGTAATTAGCCAACTGCTTGAAGTCTTATGCTACAGCCATAAAACCATTTTTATCAAGAGCTGCTGCAGCTAGGGGTAGAACAGAATATAGGTAGAGTTAGTGGCCTTAGTTACAAAATCTGAGCCCAGAACTTGCAGGGATGAAGGAGACCCTGAAACACAAGAATGGACCACAAGGTCAAGAATTTCTGGTGTACTCTGCTACACACACACACACACACACACACACACTCCTCTGTAAGCACAAATTAGTTTATTTGAGTTTACTTCCGTCTTCTTCCCTTTTATTTTTGGACTTGTAATAGAACTTCATTGTGTTTAGGGGTGGTGGGAAGGATGGAGCTACCACAAAATGGTGTTAGAAGCTATAATTTAAAGAATCTTGAGCAAAATGTCTAACTTCTAATTTGTTGAAACAAAAATTAAATATTTCTTTTTAACAGAAAAAGATGTTTGAGATTTTAGTCACTGATGTAACAGAAGCTGTAATGACTTAACTGGTCCTCAGGAATACAGCAAACCTACCGTTACTGGGAATAAACTGGGAAGAAAATTTCTTCTTAATAAAGTGCTCAGGGTTCCCAAGGGAACTCTCAGGGGAAAATGGCAAGCCGTTTATCTGATTTGCATGTTAATGCCAGACTATTCTAGTTTTTCACTATCAGAGGCCTGAAAAAACAAGCCGTTGGACTGGGAAGCGTGGAAAAGATTGTTGTGATTGGAAAACATTTCAGTGCTTCAGGAGGAAACAGTTCCTTAAGGACACTTTCGGGACCAGGATTCCAGAAGAGAACCTCCGAAGTGGCCTGATCTGCAGGAGAACCCACACCCACCTGTCCCCTTGCTCCAGCCCTCAGACCTACTCAACCACAGTCGTGACACCAAAGAGAACTGTTTACAAGGCTCTGCGAAGATGCAATGGCCTCGCCTGGACTGCCTCCCCTTCCCAGCCGGTCCCTTTTACACCCTTTCGGAGAAAGGCAGAGGGCAGCGGGGGGACAGCCTGGACCCCAGCGACTTGCAACGATGGGTACGCGCGTCCCCAGGCTCCCCACCCCCAGCTTCCACTCCCTGTGCCTTCCCTGCAGGACGCGAGCACGGCCCCCTGAGCGTCGACGGGCTCGGGGGTCTGGCCTTGATCGCACGGACACTCGCGCCCGGGACATCGTTACCTGTCGCTGGGACCCCGTCACTCCGCAGCCAGAGCGGCCCGAGAGGCCACAGGCAACAATGGCGGCGGCGTCACGGGCGCCAGCGTGGAGGGCTCTGTTCCGCGCTGCAGAGGGACCTCTGGCTCTGCCACTTCTTTTCTCGGGAAGGATTATGMGACTCCAGAAGAAGGCGCACGTTCCAACCCAGTGCTGAGAAACCCGGCCTGAAACCYCCTCGCCTCGGCTTCGCCGCGACCTCGCCTCTGCGCCACTGCGCATGTGCGCCAGGAGAACGCTGCGCGCTCGCAGAGCCAATCGGAACCAGAGTTCTGGCCTTCACTTCCCGGGGCCCTGGACCTGTCTCCATGGCAACCTCCTCCACCCATCCTCCGGACTGGCTCGTCAGCCTGCAAGGTTTTGAAGGGAATTCTCAAGTTTGTCTGGGTAGAGACGGGTCTGATAGAGAACTTGGATGTCGGAGAGTTACCAGTGGCTGGTAGAATGCTTGGAGGTGGATGCCCCGCGCCAACTACCAGAGAAAATGGCATGCCAGTGTTCCTAGGGAAGGAAGGGCAGGCAAGATTGGGTCTAAAAAGAGCAAAACCCTGAAGTGGTGTTTCAGGATGTACTGGGCATAGACACTTAAGGGTTCGGAGTATCTTCTCAGGAATTTGACAGAACAACATATTCCAGGTGTTCCTGATATCTACTGCTCCGTTAACCACTCCAAAAGGTAGTAGTTTAAAAAAACAACCACTTAATTATGCTCTTCGATGGTGAGGGTTAGGAATTTGGAAGGGGAATGGTCTGGGTGGATATTCTCTATCTCACTGTGTCTAGCTTCTGTTGAGATGACTTGATGCTGGAGATGTTCCCTTTCCACATGTTTTTTTTCACCTACATGTTTGGTACATGGGGTACCAAGTAGATGGCTTAAGGATGAGCTCAGCTTGGATTTAATCTGAGTGCTTAAGTGTGTTCTCTTCAACACAATAGACTCAGGTAGGTGGATTTATTACCTGGGGGGCTCTGGGTTGGAGTGTTCAAGTGAACAAGAAAGAATACCTGTGTCTATGTATGACATACTTTAGAAGCCACCTAGACCAATTATGCTATATTCTTGGTCAAAGCACTCACAAGCCTGCATAAAATCAAGTAGAGGCAGATGTAGACATCATGGGGGGGTGCCAAAGAGAATATCACCACATTAAGGAAATATTAATAAAAAGAAAGTTGGGAAGTGTGATGGTTTTTGATGAGTCTACTTGGCTAGGCTATAGGTCCCTGCTATTCAAGTAAACACTAATCTAGGTGTTGCTATACAGGTCTTTTGTAGATGTGATTAAAGTCCAAAAACTTAAGTTGAACTAAGTATGGGAGTTAATCATAGATAATTTGAATGGGCATGATCCAATCAGTTAAAAGGTCATAATGGCAGAACCGATCAAGGCTCCCCTGATGAAAAACATCCACCTATATACCTTCTCTTTCAGCCTGCTCTTCCTGATAGGTCACCTTTGAACTTGTTTAGTCATCCCCCTCAATTGAGTAAATAAATTTCTTGAAATAAATCTCTTATATAGCTTACTGGTTCTGTTTCTCTTGTTTAGTCCTGACTGATACAAATAACAATCCTAATATCTGGTAAAATAGAATCTAAGAACCCAAGGGAATGAATGTTTTACATTTGTAAAAATAAATATCGACAGAGAAGATATACTCACCATATGTATATATACCTAACAAAAAGGCCTCAAAATACACCAAATGATAACTGATATAACTGCATGGAGAAAATATAAATAACTACTGAAGCTAGAAATTTTAATATGCCCTCTAGTGCACACTCTGATGTGTCGTCAGGATCTTCCTTTGGGTTGATGCATTCAATTTCCTAGTTGCCAGTGTGTTTGACAGCTGATAGTTTGCCCCTAAATAAATCCTTGGAAGTTATACTGGCTGATTAGAATTGCCTCTTACATGTTGTATCTCCTCCCCAAGGACAGTCAATATCCAAAGACTGTTCAATACAAATGTTCAAAGATCTGGTCCCCTTGCCTCAATTTTTAAACTCTCTAAAAGTCTACCCTGGCTTAAGAGTTCTTCTAGGGACCCAAGGAGTCCTCTGTTGGAATCACACAGCATTTCAGCTAATTCCCATGCCCAGTCCTTTTTACATTTTTCTATAGAACACTAACCAATAATGCCCCTGCCTGCAATTTTCCATTTCAGAACTCATTTCTTGGGGCTGGGGTTGTGGCTCAGTGGTAGAGTGCTCGCCTAGCATGCACGAGGCACTGGGTTCGATCCTCAGCACCACAAAAATGTAAAATAAAGATATTGTGTCCACCTAAAACTAAAAAAATAAATTAAAAAAGAACTCATTTCTTGAGGATTTGCCTTATGCCAGTTGGTATCATGAGTGATTCTAGGAAAGGAAACTCTTAAAATGGGATTCAAACTGTATTACCTGCCTGTATGCTGGCAGTGAGGACCCTATCACTTRTGATTGATGGAATACTGATAGTAATGTCAGGTTTCAGCAGTGTAATTGTTATTGATGAAAAGGAATGTGCTGATGGATTTTATATCTCAGGCTTTGAGGTAGAGGGAAGTAATAATTCTAAGGACTATGGAATTAAGGAGTGTATTAGTCCTGTTTTATTACTATAATGAAATGCCTTAGGCAGGATACTTTATAAAGAACACAGGTTTATTTAGTTCTCAGTTTGGGAAGCTGGAAGTCCAAATAGTATGATATATGTTCTAGCTAGAGTCTCCTTTAGCTACATAACATAATATCAGGAATGCATGTATATATCTATGTGTGTGTGGTCTCTTTCACTCTCCTTATAAAGCCATCAGAATTAAATCATGACCCCCATGACCTAGACTAATCTAATCACTTCCCAAAAACTCTGCATTTTTAAAGCTTTTTAAAAAAGTTATCTTTATTTATTTTCACGAGATGCCGAGGATCGAACCCAGTGCCTCACACATGCGAGGCAGGTGCTCTACCACTGAGCTCCAGCTCCAGCCCAAAAAGCTCTGCATTTAAACACCATAATTAGACTACTAAGTTTCTACCATTTTAATGCCATCAACACATATTTTGGGGACTAAACTTCTATATAAGTATAGGGGGATAAATCATACCCAAACCATAGCAAATGGCTTACTAGGAGCTATTGACAAGGAAAGGCTGATGGTGATTAATGACCAATTTAGGGAAAGTGTCAGAATTAGAGGGTTTTTGAAAGTTGGTGGCAAAAATGCTGAGAATCAGGTACTAGGACTGATTGCATTAACTTCAGCAAAGCTTGAATTCTCAACTGCAGCAAGTTTGCTTTGTCAAAGTCAGGATCATACTGGGAAAGGAGTAGAACTGTGAGATTGGGAATGAGAACATTTTGATATATGCATGCAAACACCTTTATTTATTTATTTAGCAGTACTTATAATTGAACCCAGGGATTCTCTACCACCGAGATATGTTGGAGCACTTTTTATTTTTATTTTTTTAAATTTTGAGACAGGGTTTTGCTAAGTTGCCAAGGCTGGTCTTGGACTTGTGATCTTCCTGCTTCAGCTTCCAAAGTTACTGAGATTAGAAGCACGTGCCACCATACCTGTCTAAAAATGCCTTTAAATACCAATCCTTCCCAATTCTCTGCCTGAAAAAATGGTCCACTCTTCCAGGTCCAAAGTTACTTCTCTGTCTTGTTTGAAAAATTATGCACATAGAGACCTCTATGTTGCAATAAAACTTGTGCTTCTATAAAGATCTCCATTTTCTCTCTATCTGACCACTATATCAATAAATAGAGTCAAGGAACCACAAAACTCAACAGGTGAAATTCTGGGCCTGATCAGGGAGGAAAACAACCTATTTCCTGGTGTTGCTGCGGACCTGAGCCTAATGTATTTGTAGAAACCAGGGCAGTATGTATGAAACTGGATCCTGAGGATTCTGGATCAAAGAGGTAGAACCTATAACCAAA